AGACGCGCCACTTCCTATTAAAATGAGTTGGTCTTTTAATGTTTCAGCTCCTTCTGAGACGCGCCACTTCCAATTAAAATTAATTGGTCTTTTAATGTTTCAGCTTCTACTGAGACGCGCCACTTCCTGTTAAAATGAGTTGGTCTATTAATGTTTTAGCTCCAGTCGAGATGCGCCACTTCCCATTTAAAGGAGTTGGTCTTTAAATGTTTTAGCTCCTGCTGAGATACGCCACTTCCTGTTAAAATGAGGTTTTCATTTAATGTTTTAGCTCCAGCTCAGACGCACCACTTTCTATAAAAATGAGTTGGTCTTTTAATGTTTAGCTCCTGCTGAGACGCGCCACTTCCTATTAAAATGTGTAGGTCTTTCAATGTTTTAGCTCCCCCTCAGAAGCACCACTTCCTATTAAAATGAGTTGGTCATTTAATGTTTTAGCTTCAGCTCAGACGCGCCACTTTCTTTTAAAATGAGTTGGTCCATTAATGTTTTAGCTCCTTCTGAGACGCGCCACTTCCTATTAAAATGAGTTGGTCTTTTATTGTTTTTGAGCTCCTGAGACGCGCCACTTCCTATTAAAATTAATTGGTCTTTTAATGTTTCAGCTTCTACTGAGACGCGCCACTTCCTGTTAAAATGAGTTGGTCTATTAATGTTTTAGCTCCAGTCGAGACGCGCCACTTCCCATTTAAAGGAGTTGGTCTTTAAATGTTTTAGCTCCTGCTGAGACACGCCACTTTCTATTAAAATGAGTTGGTCTTTTAATGTTTTAGCACCCGCTCAGACGCGCCACTTCCTATTAAAATGAGTTGGTCTTTTAATGTTTCAGCTCCTTCTGAGACGCGCCACTTCCAATTAAAATTAATTGGTCTTTTAATGTTTCAGCTTCTACTGAGACGCGCCACTTCCTGTTAAAATGAGTTGGTCTATTAATGTTTTAGCTCCAGTCGAGATGCGCCACTTCCCATTTAAAGGAGTTGGTCTTTAAATGTTTTAGCTCCTGCTGAGATACGCCACTTCCTGTTAAAATGAGGTTTTCATTTAATGTTTTAGCTCCAGCTCAGACGCACCACTTTCTATAAAAATGAGTTGGTCTTTTAATGTTTAGCTCCTGCTGAGACGCGCCACTTCCTATTAAAATGTGTAGGTCTTTCAATGTTTTAGCTCCCCCTCAGAAGCACCACTTCCTATTAAAATGAGTTGGTCATTTAATGTTTTAGCTTCAGCTCAGACGCGCCACTTTCTTTTAAAATGAGTTGGTCCATTAATGTTTTAGCTCCTTCTGAGACGCGCCACTTCCTATTAAAATGAGTTGGTCTTTTATTGTTTTTGAGCTCCTGAGACGCGCCACTTCCTATTAAAATTAATTGGTCTTTTAATGTTTCAGCTTCTACTGAGACGCGCCACTTCCTGTTAAAATGAGTTGGTCTATTAATGTTTTAGCTCCAGTCGAGACGCGCCACTTCCCATTTAAAGGAGTTGGTCTTTAAATGTTTTAGCTCCTGCTGAGACACGCCACTTTCTATTAAAATGAGTTGGTCTTTTAATGTTTTAGCACCCGCTCAGACGCGCCACTTCCTATTAAAATGAGTTGGTCTTTTAATGTTTTAGCTCCTGCTGAGACACGCCACTTCCTGTTAAAATGAGTTTGTCATTTTAATGTTTTAGCTCCAGCTCAGACGCACCACTTCCTATCAAAATGCGTTCGTCTTTTAATGTTTCAGCTCTAGCTCAGACGCACCACTTCCTATTTAAATGAGTTGGTCTTTTAATGATGAGACGTGCCACTTCCAAATATAAAGGTTTGATCTTTTAATGTTTTGGCTCAAGTGTGAACGCGCAACTAAAGCAATACAGATTCTTTTTCCAGACAGAATCTTTTTTAATGTTATTGTTTAAACTCCACCCTACATTAACTCAATATAGTTTCGATGTCTTTGATTAAATATTAACATAACCTTCTATATCTACCAGACTGCCTCCGTGGTCTTGTTGAAGAGCGTCCACCAAGAGATGAAGGTCGGTGGTTTGATCATACCAAACGTCTTTAAAATATGGTGCTTGTTGTTACCCTGCATGGTGCTCGGTATAAAGGGGCTAGAACAATGCCTGGTCGGCTCAGGGCCTGTATACTGTGTCCGAGTGGGGTATTCATGTTAAACTGCCGCATGGTATAAATCGGCATTAGTCCAGACTAGAACAAGCAGGACGATTTCGGGGTAGAATAGGTCTTCAGCAACCCATACTTTGCCGTAAAAGGCGACTGCTTGTCGTAAAAGGCGACTAACGGGATCGGGTGGTCAGGCTCGTTGACTTGGTTGATACATGTCATCGATCCCAACTGAATAGATCGATGCTCATGAAGTCAATCACTGGATTGTTTGGTCCAGACTTGATTATTTACAGATCGCCGTAATAAAGCTGGAGTATTGCTGAAAGCGGCGTTTAACAACAAACTAACCAACCAACATTGTTTTCTCACCGAATACTGAACTCAGTTTGTGATGTAAATGGCAGGTGTGTGAGAAGTTTCAGATTAATCGGTGCAACAGTTTCTATTACAGACGACTAACCATGTACGGCAGACCAGGACATGCTAGTCAGCAACATTAAACGTGGAGGATGAAGAGTTTACATCACCATTGTCAACAACAAAGGTAACATCCCTTAACAACATGACATGCAGCGACTTTCTATTCCATTCAACAACTAAGACTTATAAGGTCAGGATTTCCTTACACCTATCAGTATCAGGAAACTGTTTGTTCAGTGTGTTTGATGCAATCTGCATGTTTTTCACGTGTGGCCATATTGATATAATGCATCATTTCTTGTTCAGCTATATGTGATATCCAACATAGTGAGAGTTTACATGCAAGATAAGACAAGAAAATCCTGAACATATGTCAAGGAAGCACAGGCACGGTATCTTTGAAAAAGTCATATTGTAATTTCATTGGTGTGAATTTCACAGATGAAACAGGCATCAGTGATAAAAGATTTTCAGTTCGGACTTACTTGAAGATTTGTTTATATATATGCACTAATAACCTCATTATAAAACAAACTAACAAACCCAGGCTCGCTACAAATATTTAGTCAACGGGCATAGGGTCCAACAGCGTTTTACTTGTCCTTGTGATAGTTCACTACCCTTGGGATAGCATTGTCTTTGCACGCTGCTGTCTCAAATAATATCGTGAACAATATGGGTTGTTGGCATAATACTAGTGGGGAAGTTGCGACGTCCGCAACTGCAACATGGTTCGGTAACACTCCCTAAGTGAGTGAGTCAGTGAGTGGGGTTGGTTTTACGCCGCTTTCAGCAATATCACGGGGGGGGGGGGGAGGAGACACCAGAAATGGGCTTCAGACAATGTACCCATGTCGGGAATCGATCCCGGGTGGGTGTGACGAGCGAATGCTGTAACCACTAGGCTACCCGACCGCCCCAACACTCCCTAAGAGTAAAATCGGTGTTGCAACATGTGATCGCAACTCTACGTGTGAAACTTAGGCTTAAAAAAAAATAAAAGAATTGGTTCTCAGGCAATGGTTTTTGAAACTATAGTGCAGGCGGGCGGTGTCTGTTTTGGGGGGGGTGGGGGTGGGGGGTGTTCAAACTAGTATGTAACCAATAAACAGTTGTGTAATCAATAAATCTGGGAAAGGGCCTCCCTACATAAATATATTCCCTGATGAGTAAAATAATGGAATACAGTATTTGACTACCTTTGGACTTGGAATATTTAAAGATTTTTTTGCTTTTTTTAAAAATGGAAATAAAAATGAAATGTGAGGCAAACTTTATGATGATGCGCGCGGTGCCTGAGAACCAAGACTATTATTTTTTTAGCTTTATATACAACATTACTAAAGTATACATGAAATTTCAATCTGGAGAAATCACTGAAAAATCGATGATGACATTGTGTGGATTGATGCTCATGATGTCAATCATTGGACTGTCTGGTCCAGACTTAGTTATTTACAGGCCACCATCATATTAATGGAACATTACCAAGTGTGGTGTTTATTTAACAACAAGAATAGGTTGCTTGGTACCTATTCTAGCCCAGAATCCTCACAGGGAATGTGGCAAAGGTACAAAGAAGATAGGGGGCACGGGTGGCCCAGTCGTCTAAGGCGCCGCGATTTGCTGTGCAGAGTTGCGTCCCTTGGGCACGCCAGAAACCTATGATTGTGGGTTCGAATCCCGGTTCACCCCAATTATGTTTCTAGGTTTGTCAGCACCATACCCGTGCTCGTGGGTTTCACCGAAGTGGTAAATGTCTGAGACCTGCATCACTTCGGGCTTTCCTCCCACATTAAACTGCCATGCCGCGATATAACTGGAATATTGTTAAAAGCGGCGTTAAACCCAACTCACTCACTCACTATTAAGAAGATATATCAACAAGGGCTCAATTTAGCTTCATAAAACATGCACCAGTGCAACCTATTATTGAAAAATGAAACCTAATACTTACGTCTACATGCACTAAGTGTATTTTATTGAAATATTCAAATTTGTGTCTAACCTTACATGTCCACACAACATCAATGTTTGAACAAATTCAATACCTCTGAGCTTATATACCATACAAAATCAATAACCCCTATGTTATGTGTGAGTTAAATCTGTTTCCTTAAATCTAGACCGTTCATGTACAAAACAAAGGGGGCTGTCGGGTAGCCTAGTGGTTCAAGCGTTTGCTCGTCATGCCGAAGACCCGGGTTCGATTCCCAACATGGGTACAATGTGTGAAGCCCATTTCTGGTGTCCCCTGCCATGATATTGCTGGAATATTGCTAAAAGCTGCGTTAAACCATACTCACTCACTCACAAAACAAAACAAAGGGGAACATGCTTGATGTTTACTCCCGGAGTATTTAAATCTAGGGACTCCTGCTGTTTTTACTTTCGACATGAGGGTCATGACAAGGATCCCTCAATTTTAATGCCTCACTGTACATGATCAATTTATAAGAACACATTATTTAAATGATTATTATTTTATTTTCAGTTTCTTCAACATTTCACCAGTCATAAACACAGGCAAATTCTTAGGAGTAAGCTGTCACATCTCATCTAAAATACTGCATACAGCCAATTAGCAAACACTTTATTTACATACATAGCTCTGTTTGACTGTTGCCAAATCTGCAGAGATTGAATGTATCTGATGTACACAGAAACAGATTCTAAAATGGCACCAGTCCAAACTTCACAGTCCTTTTTAACTGCCGAAAATATGCATTTTTTGCATTAATTACATTTAAACAGTTAATGTTGGGACAAGATGTATTTCTCTATAGCTATGATATCCTGAAGTATTCTTCCAAGAGAAAAGTGTTAATTTATCAGTGATCACATTCATATCTGAAAAACAAAGGTCTGATGCAGAGTTAAACTCTTTGAATAAGTTGTCAGGAATGTCTTCATCTCAAACAGTTGTATGGATACTAGCACTTTCTTCCTTGCATGTGAACAGTTGTCAGTATCAGAAGAACAAGCCTCTCATTCTCCTTCCCATCCCCTGTCGGTCGTACAGCACGTTGAACTTGTTCACAAACTGGAACAGAAAAGAACAGGAAAGTACAGATATCATGCTTAACTGAACAAAACCAGGGGTATATTGTTTTAACACACCAATAGTGAGTAAGTGAGGATCGTTTTATGCCGCTTTAAGCAATATTCCAGCAATATCATGGCGGGGGACACCAGAAATGGGCTTCACACATTGTACCCATGTCGGGAATCGAACCCGGGTCTTCGGTGTGACGAGCAAACGCTTTAACCACAAGGCTACCCGACCGCCTCCCCAGCAATATATGAGATACATCAAAACAGTTGCTTGTAAGCTATGAAGTCTTCAATGGACACTTTGTTGATTTGTTTGTTTTTTGTTAAAGATGAAATTCATGAGACAGTTTAATTGCATCCTCTCAAAGAAAAAGAAACCTATGATTGTGGGTTGGAATCCTGGTTCGCACTGATTATGTTTCAAGGTTTTTCAGCCCTGTGAAGTGGTCTGAGACCTGCATCACTTTGGGCTTTCCTCCCACATTAAGCTGACAAGCTGTGGTTTAACTGGAATACTGTTAAAAGTGTCATTAAACCCAACTCACTCACCCACTCTCAGGGAAGCTAGAGACAGACATAATAATTCTATTCTGTAATTATTACAAAATCTAATCTAAAACAGCCTATTATTCAACCGAAGAACTCTTTGGTCAGGTTGAGGCTTTGACATTATTTTGGTCTAAGCAATGAGTAGAAACAGATCATAATCAGGAAGGGTCTGGAATTCAATGGATCCTGGTATGGGCAAGGGGCACAACTCTGCACACTCTTCTTTGACCACTTGGCAACCTGTGACCTCTCATAATTGTTAAGATGGACATTGTATTGTTCTCACCTTGATTCATTATGAAAAAGAACAAAATCAACATTCAACATTACATCATGGGTCTTCAAACTTTTATCACTTTGATGCCCAACCAACCCACAAGCATAAGTGCAGACAAGACCCGTGAAGATCTGGGGACTTCAGCAGCCCATGCTTGCTGTAAAAGGCGACTAAGCTTGTCGTAAGAGACGACTAATGGGATTGGGTGGTAAGGCTCGCTGACTTGGTTGATGCATGTCACCGATCCCAATTGTGTGGATCGATGCTCATGATGTCAATCAATGGATTGTCTTGTCCAGACTCGATTATTTACATAGCTGGAATATTGCTGAGTGCAGCGTTAAACAACGAACAGACAGGTGCTGACAAACCTAGAAACTGACAGTCCTTGTGGGAGGTTCCAAATGTCAAAGTTATTGATAATGTTTTGGCAGTCTCTATTCTTGGGTTTCAACCAGCTGAATACCTAAGGAATACATTTGATGTCTGTTACCCAGAACAACAAAGTGAGTCAGTGAGTGAGTGAGGTTATACGCCGCTTTTAGCAATATTCAAGCAATATCACGGTAGGGGACACCACAAATAGGCTTCACACATTGTACCCATGTCGTGAATCGAACCCGGGTCTTTGGCGTGACGAGCGAACGCTTTAACCACTAGGCTACCCGACCGCCCCCCCGAACAACAAAGAAGATGTTCAGAAAAGTGTACATTGTGATAAGTCCTGGAGATTTTCAAGTTCGAAATCCATTTAACATGTTTAATGTTTATCAACCAATTAAATTGAAGCATTATTTGCATTTGCTTTTCTGTAACTTTTGTTCTCACTAAAAAATCAGGGGCGAAGCAAATGCTGACCTATGACCCCAGAATGCCTTGCAAGCTCACCTGGTTCATTGTATTACAGCCCTTTGTCATTGATCCAAGATAGGCCATGAGACACACGTCATTGTGTTGCTGGAAATAGAAAAGTCACAAACCTTACAATGTTACATTTACACATTTTTTTCACAACAATCAAATAATTTGATATTTCAGAACAGAAACGACTCATTAAGTCGAATTCCTGTGAAACCATAAAATATGTTGCCTTGTGTGTACTTGAAGATAAATAAGAAACCATATAAAGATTTAAGTTACACCATGATCAAAATACAAACTAGTCCACAACCCATGTTCAGACAATGAGTTTCAGTTTATGAAAAAAAGTGTTCAAGATTAAGGGGGATTGTGGGGCAGTTGAAGTATACTCCTTCGGGTTTTTTAATCTAGGGACCTATTAACATAAGGGTTATGAAAAGGCCCCCTTGACATTTATGTTTAACTTCAAACACTGTAAAATACAGAAAACTATGGTTAAAACGAACTCAAAGGGACCATTTATATTCATTCATTATAACTATACACAACATAAATACCGGTAAGCAAATGGCCGGGACAAAGAACAGTATGATTTTTCCGTCAGTTCAATATAAGCGTGGTTGTTATAAACATTCATGTGGGGAGACACCTACAATAGTTTGTATAAATAGTCACTAGTCTCAGACAAGAGGCCTGTTAAACTCCGTATTATTTGACATAAAAGTTGATAAATAAACAAATGAATGAATATTGAGTAACGCTGTGCCATAAATAACAAAGAGTAATGAATTGGCCAGTTTAGGTGGAGAGGACCTGACAAACACCTGCAAGATACCATATACATCCTCGTATCTGAATGAAAACTATAGAGTGTTGAAATAATGAGCCATTGCATAAATAACATAATGAGGACCTACATTATAGAAGTCTTCCTTAAACCGTGTTGTGTTGAGGACCGGAAGCCGATAACACAGACTGTAGGCCTCCCTCAGGACGTCGTGGTTCTTGGGTACTTCTCCTGGAAATATGAATGTCAGTCAGTCAGCCCCCCTTGTACTGTTTGTTAGGTTTTGGTTGTTTCATGTTTAATGCCGCACTCAGCAATAGTCCATCAATATGACAGCGGTCTGGGCCTAGATTTTCAAAATGATCTTAGCTAAGCTAAGCTAGCTAACATAACAACTTACGTTCAAAGATAAGATATCTTAAGATTAAGATAAGATAGATTGCAAAACTATTGTAAACCCATCGCAGATTGTTCAGAGCTACGATACCTATCGTAACTCTGACAGAGAACTCATTTGTGTCAGAGATTAAAAAGGCGGGGTGTTTCCCAATAACGTCATGGGGATTTCCCAGCTGCTGACAATAACAACATATATAAGTGACAGAAAATTTATGATCACATTGTCAGGTCACATTGTTTAACATGCACATATTTGAGTGACATTCTGTACAATCCTACATGTAGACGTGTTGTTTTTATGATAAAAGATGCCCTGACTACCCGAACACAAATAGTATTCGTGTGCCATGCAAAGGCATTTTGCAAACCCAATAAATGTCATAATCAATAAGTGTAGTGTTACCAGACTATAGCTATTAGAACTGAACAAATGTGCAGAAAGATACTTCACTATTTTCCCTTTAAATGGTCCCCTCGCGAGCGGGTAGAATTTTATGTTAACACATGTTTTATCTATCTAGATCCATAATTCTTTTGAAAAAAATTGAAAGTGACACAAATTTTCGTTCACAGAGGGAGATAACTTAGGAATTGTCAAGTTATTTTGTTTCATGGAACACGCCACAAGTTAACGTGAACATACATATAATGTAGTCCTTTTCTATCCTTTTAAATTAAGTAGAGCTAATAAACAGATTTTTTTTATTTGATTTAAATCTGGCTGATGAGCGAAATATCTACATTGTAAATGTGTGAAATCTATTCCCGAACGTAGTTCGATGACGTTTGGCAGCATTGCTGAGGGTCATTTAGATTAAATTTAATAAGTAAATTTCATTCAATAAACATTTGCTGCAAAAATATATTGGAAATTGAATTTTGGACAGTGTTCAAAATATTTTACTTTTTGATGACATTTTAAACCCAAATGAGCATTGGTACCCATTTTTTATTGATTTTTCAAATCGCCAATCTCGAAAATACGATACAAAAATATATGCTTAACTTTTGCTGTCCAAATAATAATAAATTGCTATATTTAATGGAATACATTTATGCCGTTAATCACCTGTTTTTAAAGAATGTAATTATTCAAAAGGCAATATTTTATCACTTGTTATCAAATATTTGTCTTTCAATGATATAGATAACCTCGGTATTGTTTTTAAAACGAAAAAAAATACAATTACTTTTGCTAGAAAAGGATTAAATATACTCTTTATACAAATATACTATACACATATTTGATCACAAATCAATAAATACTACACTGTATAGTTCTATTCAATTGTTAAAACCGCTCGTCCCACGCCATTTTAGATGTAAAACCTGACGTGAAACGCTTATGGTTTTGCACTTCGTCACATATGTAGATTGACAAAAAATTATAAAATGCGTAAAAAAAGACTAAAGCATTGTTAACAAATGCGACCCAGAAAATATAACAGCGGAACTCTGCGCTTTATGCACACTGTAACATTAAGCAAGGTCTTGTCGGGCGAATACAAAGGGAAACCACTGTCAGTTAGGGAATTTTAGCTGCCCCTGAGTTATCAAAAGGGCTAGCCTGCTGACACCTTCCATTTTTATCCTCCCCAAATTATCGAAGAGGAATGTTGTTGCATAAATCTACAGCATGGACTCGGATAGAGATATATTGTAAGCTATCGACTCCATAGTCATGTGGTTCGCTGTCGCCATTAAGAACATTTTTTACCTGAAATCTTTGATGCGTTCTTCGTGTTTTTGAAGTGTCAATTTGAATCACACAGTTTAACCAAATGAAATGTCAATTTTTGATCGTAAAGCAGATTATTTGTTTGGAAAATATCCATGGCAAAGTATGCCGCCATCTTGGATGAAGATAAAATAATATTACAACAGGTATGGGGCTCTCTTAGATTTATGACAATCTTACGATATCTTAGGGTTACGATAATTTCGAAAATAGGCTACGATAGCCTACAATTTCCTTACGATAACTTCACGATAATTTTAAGGCTATGATCGTTTCGAAAATCTAGGCTCTGTAAATAATCAAGTCTGGGTCATACAATCCAGTGATTGACATCATGAGCATCAATCTAAGCAATTGGGATATGACATGCATCAACCAAGTAAGCGAGCCTGACCACACAATACCGTTAGTCACCTCTAAAGACAAGCATTGGTTGCTGAAGACAAATTCTAACCTGGATCTTTATGGGGTTTGTACTGTATGCTTATGGAAAACATGGTACATATTTGTTATTTTGGAAGATTTGTTTGTTGTTTGATGCTTGTAATTAATCAAGTCAAACCAGACAAACCAGCAACTCACATTGTGACTGACATACCATGCCCCCGGGGTATGATGACACGCTATACTGACACTGACCGCCCACTCCATTAAGTCACCTCTAAAGTTCTTAGGTTCTACTAACCTGCTTGCACTGCTTTAACATACTCCAGAATGAGCTTCACACGACTGTGTAACATTTTGATAGAACTGTGCTGAGCAATCAAGTGTTCTGAAAAAACAAAAATGAAAATGATGAATGACCAATAATAAAAATATCACACCAACTGACTGTTGTTTATTCAAACTAATTGTGACTGAAGAGCACCAAACGCTTGTAACAATTTAGAAAAATCTAAATATTTTTTACATTTGTATACTTATCCTGCATTACTCCTTAATGCATTCATTGCTTACTTTACGACAATAGAAGGGACTGCGTAACGGCGATGGTCCTGGGTGAAGAAATAAAAAACTGTTGTTCATAGTCCCACTTTTGCCGACCACAGCCACTGTCCTGTGACCTTGATGACCTGAGGTCACCTTCTTCACATCACTGCCTGTCGCCTGAGCTCTTAGAAAAACATACTTTTGAGGTTTCTGAAGCCAAAGTGGGGAGGCAAGTCTTGCGACGGGTGGGCCTTAAACGTAGTAATGCAGGATAAGTATAAAACTGTGAAAAATATTTAGATTTTTCTAAATCTTTTACTTATCCTGCATTACTCCTTAATGCATCTGTATCTGACGGTTTGGAGGTGGGAAACCCTCAGAATACAGAAACCTCAATAATTCACACCCTGAAGATACGACACCAGTTGGTCGATAAACTGTGAAGTGGAAAAGTTGAGAAAAATGCCATTACGGTAGGGTTGTTTCAATATGAAAACAATTGAACATAGGAATTAAAGAGTAGCTCCTTATGTATATACACCTTAGTAATAAAGACAAAACTAGTTCACCAGCTAATTCTTTACTTACTACGTCATAGAGCCCTTGTAGACAATCAATTGTTTTCCATAACAATTAGTACAACGCGCAAGCATAATTAAGGCAATTACAGAATTTTTGATGAAGCGGGACTGGAAGACTGCCGTAGAATTGAAATAATCTATCGGCAAAAATATTGTAACGAGTTGAAAATGTATTTAATAATTTGTATATAACAGAACACATAAATATGTAAACAATTTGGCTACCTTGGCAGGCCAACAATTTTAACACAATTTAAAATGGCGGTGAACAAACAGCACGTGGCAGGAAATAAGACAGAGTCTTTTATACCTAAATAAATCGCATAAAACTACACAACATGCTGAGAGTAATATGAAAGAATACATCACCCGTCGCAGATAAATTTTAGAATTGTAGACAAAAACTGAAGGTCTAAAATTAATCCAAAACGAGAGCTCCACTGATACACATCCATGCTGTGGCGCGATGTAGCAGTGATGTGAAGAATGTGACCTCAGGTCATCAAGGTCACAGGACAGCGGTGGTCGGCAAAAGTGGGACTACGAACAACAGTTTTTCATTTTTTCACCAAGGACCATCGCCGTTACGCTGTCCCGTCTTTTGTCGTAAGGTAAGCAGTGAATGCATTTAGGAGTAATCAAGGATAAGTAAAAAATTGGGTGAATAAAATACAAAACATATTGTAGATAAGTGTTCCTTGAGAAAATATGTTTACTACGCAAAAATGTTTGTAGCAAGATTAAGTTTTTCCAAAGACCTACTGATAAATGGACTGTGTTTATTTCTTACAGAGATCTGTTGATTCCAGTAGAGAAACAACAATTCTCTGAAACAACAGATGCCATTCATTTGTGGATGAGATGAGTGCAAAATATACTGACGAAAAATAAATGATCATATTCAGCCACAACAAAAAAAAGCCAAATGTTCTCATTGTGTATAAAATACTTCAGTAATAATCTTTGGAAAAAGTAATTATTTCAGAGATTTGTATCAGAATTCCTGAACAGAAGTTCTTGCCCGTGGCAACACATTCATTGTCTGCTGATGGTCATTGAAAGTGAGTTGTAGACAAATGGTAGAGTGACATTCTCTGTTCTAAGACAGCTGTATGATACATCAGTTAATCACCATTCAGCAGGGACAGGGGAGTTATTGGATTCAGTCTCTTAACCGTTGATAATCTACTGGGTACCAAATGAACAGTGCACCTGTAGAACTTTCTCCAGTGTCAGACGAAGACATCCTTGCAACATGATCCACACCGATTCTCTCCGCCTCTTCTGTAGCTAGTGTGTACGACAGTTCCACAAACAGCATAGTAGCCTGGGGGATATAAACAATAGTAGCCTCAGTGATATAAACAGCATAGAAGCCTTGGGTATATAAACAATAGTAGCCTCAGTGATATAAACAGCATAGTAGCCTGGGTATATAAACAATAGTAGCCTCAGTGATATAAACAGCATAGTTGCCTGGGGATATAAACAATAGTAGCCTCAGTGATATAAACAGCATAGAAGCCTTGGGTATATAAACAATAGTAGCCTCAGTGATATAAACAGCATAGTAGCCTGGGGGTGTAAACAATAGTAGCCTCAGTGATATAAACAGCATAGTAGCCTTAGTGATATAAACAGTAATAGCCAAGCTCAATGATATAAACAGCATAGTAGCCTGGATGATTTAAACAATAGTAGCCACAGTGATATAAACAATAGTACCCTAGGGGATATAAACAATAGTAACCTCAGTGATATAAACAGCATGGTAGCCTGGGGGATAGAAACAATAGTTGCAACAGTGATATAAACAGCATAGTAGCCTGGGGGATAGAAACAATAGTAGCCACAGTGATATAAACAATAGTACCCTAGGGGATATAAACAATAGTAACCTCAGTGATATAAACAGCAAAGTAGCCTGGGGGATAGAAACAATAGTTGCAACAGTGATATAAACAGCATGGTAGCCTGGGGGATAGAAACAATAGTTGCAACAGTGATATAAACAGCATGGTAGCCTGGGGGATAGAAACAATAGTTGCAACAGTGATATAAACAGCATGGTAGCCTGGGGGATAGAAACAATAGTTGCAACAGTGATATAAACAGCAAAGTAGCCTGGGGGATAGAAACAATAGTTGCAACAGTGATATAAACAGCATGGTAGCCTGGGGGATAGAAACAATAGTTGCAACAGTGATATAAACAGCATAGAAGCCTGGGGGATAGAAACAATAGTTGCAACAGTGATATAAACAGCAAAGTAGCCTGGGGGATAGAAACAATAGTTGCAACAGTGATATAAACAGCATGGTAGCCTGGGGGATAGAAACAATAGTTGCAACAGTGATATAAACAGCAAAGTAGCCTGGGGGATAGAAACAATAGTTGCAACAGTGATATAAACAGCATGGTAGCCTGGGGGATAGAAACAATAGTTGCAACAGTGATATAAACAGCAAAGTAGCCTGGGGGATAGAAACAATAGTTGCAACAGTGATATAAACAGCATGGTAGCCTGGGGGATAGAAACAATAGTTGCAACAGTGATATAAACAGCATGGTAGCCTAGAGGAAACAAACAGCTCAGGCTGCAACAACTCAGAAGTCTCAGGAATGTTGGTGGACCGTGATATCCTGTTGCCATATGAGCACAAAACGAACCATGTAAACGTGATTATGAGAAAATTTGCATGAAAAGTATTTGTTGGCCAATATTTTCAAATGGAATACACAGTTCTAATAAGATAGTACACTATAGAGAAAAAGATGAATTCTTTAGTATTTTCTATTAATTATGGTGATATACATCCTCCTAAAGGTTCAGACTCATCAGATGGACAGATGACACGCACGATATAAGTTTGTTTCAGTCCTCGTCAGGTAAACAAGGTCATGATGGTAAAGAAGTAGAAATTAGTATTACCTCTCTATTTACAAGATCTATCACAGACTCATAGATGGACACCGGTAACTGAAACACAACACAATTCATGATAAACATTATAATGCACACAATATTTGTATAATATTATTAACATAGTTAAGAATGAATAAATGAAGGAAAGCTGTTAAAGTCACAGTCAGTAATTTTCGAGCGACATCAAAGTAGCCTGAATATATTCGACACTCTGACAGACAAACCAGAAACTGACAGCTTGAGGCACTATCCATGCCTCATTGATTTTATGATGCCCATCAACCAACAATCCTGACCCCCATAAACCAACAATCCTGACTCTCATAAACCAACAAGCTTGACCCCAAAACCAACAAGCTTGACCCCTATAAACCAACAAGCCTGACCTCCCAATAAACCAACAAGCCTGACCCCCATAAACCAACAAGCTTGACCCCTATAAACCAACATGCCTGACCCTCATAAACCAACAAGCTTGACCCCTATAAACCAACAAGCCTGACCTCCCAATAAACCAACAAGCCTGACCCCATAAACCAACAAGCCTGACCTCCCAATAAACCAACAAGTCTGACCCCCATAAACCAACAAGTCTGAACCCAATAAACCATCAAGTCTGACCCCCATAAACCAACAAGTCTGATCCCCATAAACCAACAAGCCTGACCCCATAAACCAACAAGCTTGACCCCTATAAACCAACAAGCCTGACCCCCATAAACCAACAAGCCTGACCCCCATAAACCAACAAGTCTGAACCCAATAAACCATCAAGTCTGACCCCTATAAACCAACAAGTCTGATCCCCATAAACCAACAAGTCTAACCCCTATGAACCAACAAGCCTGACCCCCATAAACCAACAAGTCTGATCTCCATAAGCCAACAAGCCTGACCCCTATAAACCAACAAGCCTGACCCCCATAAACCAACAAGTCTGATCTCCATAAGCCAACAAGCCTGACCCCTATAAACCAACAAGCCTGACCCCCATAAACCAACAAGCCTGACCCCCATAAACCAACAAGCCTGACCCCATAAACCAACAAGCTTGACCCCTATAAACCAACAAGCCTGACCCCATAAACCAACAAGCCTGACCCCATAAACCAACAAGCCTGACCCCTATAAATCGACAAGCCTTGCCCCCTGCTTTAGTCAGCCTAAATGACAAGCCTAGGTTCTAGGGATCCCTTCAATGTTGTTCCCCAGTGCTCTGTAGCAGCTCGTAAACAAGACGAAGATTTTGTGCATTTATAGGTGTATAAACGTAAAACACTACCATGCACACTTTGGATAAATCCGCTATGCAAAAACATTTTCATGTCAATTCTTGGAAATAAATATGTCAACAATAGTAAATTCACAGACTGCTTACTTAATCATCAACAGTCAAAAAACTGTAGACAACAATACCAAGCAATATAGTGAGTGGGGGTTCTACATCCAAAATATCTTGGGGAATCTGATATCCAAAATAAATCTATTGGGGATGTCACGATACGACTATCTCCCGATATGACACGTATCGCAATACTTTGTTCATGACACAATACATATTGTGATTTTAATTTGTGGCAATTTTGCATGAATATGTATAGTTCATGCAGCATAAACACAAAAAAGGCGTGAAGCTTCATGAATATCTGCTCTTGTTTCAATCAATACTTATTTCAGATAAACTGGAGTGTCAACATGGATATTTTCTATTATCAAATAAAATAGCAAATTCCCTATTGGCAAAATATCTAAGATGTGCACCTGTAATTAAATATATTTAATATGAATGACTGGGTCCATATGTGAAAAGATATGGAATGTATTGCTACAGGTGTATATCTCGTAATGTATTGTTTAAGAATATTATCGATGCATGGATGTATTGGTGAATTGCAATCTCATCAAAATCAGACCTTAGTTCTTGCTACCGCTAAACAAAGATCTGAAGACATTATTTCATTAGGGGTCACGTCAAAACGACCTTTTATCCGACCAAACAGTGCGTTGTTTACCAGATTATGAAAAGTGACAGTCGGAATGTTATTTCTAATCATGCAATCTCGAAAACTTTAACATGGGATATTCCGAACGATAGTTACGGGTTTACAACTGAATCTATACAATCTAGACCATCTATGAGCCAGTCCAGAATGTGTTTTTGTTCAGGTTTCAAATTTGTAATCGAGAATTTGTCAAAATATGTTTCGAAGCGCAGTCGCCAAATGGAAATTTCTGCCGTAAAGCACGAGAAAGCTGCCTTCTGATTGGTCATTCCATTGGTCGGTCAAAGTTCGCACAAGGTCGGTCTGACGTGACCCGTAATGGGATGTCCTCAGATCTTTGTTTAGCGGCAGCTAGAACTAAGGTCTGATTTTAATGAGATTGTGGTGAATTGTCATCTCTAAAATCTCTATAATTAATCATGTTACACTTACATCAGAGTTTCTAGCTAGTGGATTCAGCTTCATTAAGACTGGACTCTCGTTGATCTGGCAAATCTGAAATTAAGTGAGTGAATGAGTTAAAATTTGACATCATATCGGCAATGTTGCAGCCATACAGTGATGAGAACAAATTAATCTTTATAAATTTATCTGTTCACAAAGGTCTGTAAAACAGTAAATATCACATTTTTTCATAAAACCACACCAGGGCAAAATAAATCAGGTTTAGTTTATTAAAACAAGGCTATTGGCCACCTGCAACTTTGTTTGTTGTTTTAACATGTTAAAGCAGCACTCAGCAATATTCCAGCCATATGACTGCAGTCTGTAAATAATCAAGTCAGGACCAGATAATCCAGAGATTGAAATCATGAGCATGGATCTACACAATTGGGATGCGATGACGTGCATCAACAGTCAGCGAGCCTGACCACCCGATCCCGTTAGTCGCCTCTTATGACAAGCATAATTGACTCTTAAAGCAAGCATGGGTTGCTGAAGACCTATTCTAACCCGGATCTTCACGGGTCCCAGCTGCAACTGAAATCAGGTACACACAATATGACATGCCTACTTCCTCTATTTGAATTATGTACACTTTAAACTATTTTCTTCAGCTACCGAGGGTTTGAATCCTGGTTTCCCTGATTATGTTTCTAGGTTTGTCAGCATCATACTCATGATCGTTGGTTTCACAAAAGTGGCAAATGTCTGAGACCTGCATCACTTCGGGCTTTCCTCCAGCATCAGGTTGACATGCCATGACATAACAGTTCAAAGCGGTGTTAAACCCAAATCACTAACTCTTCTGTTTAGAGCTGGGACAGGTAACTCAGGTACTTGGGTCGGGTGGGTCCTGAGTAGGACCCGGGTACCCACAGAACTACCCGGACCCGTGGTTAGTCACGTGATATATGTTGTTTAATGACAAAAATTATTTAAAACTCTGGTTACAATATAAGTCACTAATGTTCCCATTTCTTTCTGACAATGTACCCATTCCTTTTGACTTACATGTTTGAATAAAGATAAACCTCATGCATTAAACTTCAGTGTATGCATGACCAGATCGTTTTACACTATATCTCAATACATTTTGCCAGGGCTACGGTCAAACTTTTCCAATTCTGACAGTTTGTACCTATCTCTAAATATCTACAGCGGGTACCCGGGTAGGGTCGGGTAATAGGGTGGTGGGTACCTGGGTAGTAAATTTGGACCCGTCCCAGCCCTACTTCTGTGACCAGTTTTCAGTGGATGAGCGAGTGACGGAGTTGAAATTACAAGTCACATTGGCAGTTATACACGGAGTATACAAACTACACAACAGACTAAAGGACCACCCTACTACAGTTAATCTGTCATGCCTTGAAAGAATCAGGTGGTCCTTAACTTCTTTTGAGTAGCATATAAAACCTGTCGATAATGGTCAGTAAAACAACTACATTATCAACGATTTGTATTAAAAGCTAAGATGTGACCATAAAAAGACCATATATGTGGATTGGTTTACTCCAATGAAGCCCGCGGCAACAGGATCGGCAGGCTGGACCTGAATGTCCCAGTGTATCAGTATCAGTATCAGTGTACCTGTCTGTGAACTCGTATATCGGACTCTGACGGCAGATCTCCGGTCGTGTACCAGCCCAGGAAGTCCATCTCGCTGAAGACTTGTTTGACTGCAAGAGAAAATATAAATCATCTACCTTTTCAATTACACATTATCACGATTTAATCACCTGAAACCTTTCTTTTACACATTGTGATATATACCTTCCCCCTGAGACCCGTGAAGATTCCGGGGTAGAACAGGTCTTCAGCAACCCATGCTTGCCGTAAAAGGTGACTATGCTTGTCGTAAAAGGCGACTAACGGGTGGTCAGGTCACAACCATGCATTACTGATTAATGTCATCATGACTCAGATCCCAACCATGCACTACTGATGAATGTCATCATGACCCATATCCCAACCATGCATTACTGGTGAATGTCATCAAGACCCATATCCCAACCATGCATTACTGATGAATGTCATCATGACTCAGATCCCAACCATGCACTACTGATGAATGTCATCATGACCCAGATCCCAACCATGCACTACTGATGAATGTCATCATGACACAGATCCCAACCATGCACTACTGATGAATGTCATCTTGACCCAGATCCCAACCATGCGTTACTGATGAATGTCATCATGACTCAGATCCCAACCATGCATTACTGATGAATGTCATCAAGACCCATATCCCAACCATGCATTACTGATGAATGTCATCAAGACCCATATCCCAACCATGCACTACTGATGAATGTCATCATGACTCAGATCCCAACCATGCATTACTAGTGAATGTCATCAAGACCCATATCCCAACCATGCATTACTAGTGAATGTCATCATGACTCAGATCCCAACCATGCATTACTAGTGAATGTCATCATGACTCAGATCCCAACCATGCACTACTGATGAATGTCATCATGACTCAGATCCCAACCATGCATTACTGATGAATGTCATCATGACTCAGATCCCAACCATGCATTACTGATGAATGTCATCATGACTCAGATCCCAACCATGCATTACTGATGAATGTCATCATGACTCAGATCACAACCATGCATTACTGATGAATGTCATCATGACTCAGAACTCAACCATGCATCACTGATGAATGTCATCATGACTCAGATCCCAACCATGCATTACTAGTGAATGTCATCATGACTCAGATCCCAACCATGCATTACTGATGAATGTCATCATGACTCAGATCCCAACCATGCATTACTGATGTCATCATAACCCAGATCCCAACCATGCACTACTGATGAATGTCATCATAACCCAAGTCCCAGCCATGCACTACTGATGAATGTCATCATGAACCAGATCCCAGCCATGCACTACTGATGAATGTCATCATGACCCAGATCCCAGCCATGCACTACTGATGAATGTCATCATGACTCAGATCCCAACCATGCACTACTGATGAATGTCATCATGACTCAGATCCCAGCCATGCACTACTGATGAATGTCATCATGACTCAGATCCCAACCATGCACTACTGATGAATGTCATCATGACCCAAGTCCCAGCCATGCACTACTGATGAATGTCATCATGACCCAGATCCCAACCATGCATTACTGATGAATGTCATCATGACCCAGATCCCAACCATGCATTACTGATGAATGTCATCATAAACCAAGTCCCAGCCATGCATTAGTGGTGAATGTCATCATGACCCAGATCCCAACCATGCATTACTGATGAATGCCATCTTGACCCAGATCCCAACCATGCACTGCTAACGAATGTCATCATGACCCATTACCCAACCCTGCACTACTGATGAATGTCGTCATGACCCAACTGCATGTGCAATGTGGCAGCAGGGACATCGTCTTACACTGTTCTTCCTTCGTGTTGTAGTAGTCCATGTTGATGATGATGTTTCCTTCCACAAAATCAAACACCAGCTCAAAGGAGTTCATCACTTCAATGTTCCTCCCCTTCTGCTGTCCGATCAATGCTCCCAGCACTGGAACAAAACATTATTATTGTCATTAGCAAAGTTGGGCAACACTTCCATAATGTTACAGTTTATGGAGTTGATTGACATGAGTAAATACTTCAGTCACAAAAAAATAAAGAAAAAAACAGAGCTCCAGATAAGCTTTTGGTGTTGTGGGTATTTTACCCATGCATTTTAAAATCATTGGGTATCAGTAATTCTATCTGGGTATTCAAATTTCTGTTACCCACTAGTTTTTACACATGTGGGTATTTAAGTTAAATATTTAAAAACACTATTCATCTAGTCCCTGCAAACTGGTGTCGTGTGGGTTCGAGAGCTTTATAGGACTCAAAAATACCACGATACTTCCACAAGAAAGTGTGATGGCAAATGATCATGATGTAACTGTCATCGTGGAGTTTGGCAAGGTTGACGGAATGCCCGTTTATAATTTCAAAATAAGTTGCTGATTTGCTAATCGAATACGCAGGGTTACTTCGCAATATTTTGATGATACGCACAAGTTTTATTTTTGTAGCGTATCTGTAATGTTCGTTGCGTATTTGATACGCTTGGATTATATTTTACTGTGTATTTCTGCATTTCTGATGTGTATTTCACGCAGATACGCAGCTTATCTGGAGCTCTGAAAAAATTACCGATTTTATTTTACACATTTTAACCAATTGTCTTATCAAGATAATGTTTCTGAATAGGTCTTCAGTAACCCATGCTTGTCGTAAAAAGGCGACTATGCTTGGTGTAAAAGGCCACCAAACGGGATCGGGTGGTCAGGCTCGCTGACTTGGTTGATGCATGTCATCGATCCCAATGGCGTGGATCGATGCTCATGATATTAATCACTGGATTGTCTGGTCCAGACTTAATTATTTACAGACCGCCGTCATATAGCTGGAATATTGCTGAGTGCGGCGTTAAACAAAAAACCAACCAACCAACCAACGATAACTGCATGAGAACAAAGCCTTCTATGGCAATGCAGACAGAAATTTTATTTTACACAAATTTTACCAATTGTCTTATCAAGATAATGTTTCTGATAACCGCAATGAGAACAAAGCCTTCTACGGCAATACAGACAGAAATAGATACACACATGCACCTGTCACCATGGTTACTATAAAAATAGTCAAACATACTGCACTTTAACATGAATAGAATTTGCTTTTACTTTTTCTCACCATGCCCATGAATCATCCTAATGAGACTGACGAAACAAACATCATCATGTATATGACAATATGTAGAAAAGAGATGTAAATGCACAAATTATTTTCATCATTCTAGGATCAAACAAAAAGTGCAGCCCCCATGCTGAAATAGACTGAATCATTTTGGAGCTCACTGGTTGAGAGACAACTGGGTTAACAGACCCATTCAGATTTTGATCGTTTTCAATAATAATATAAAGATAAATATTGATAGATATGTTCCCCTTGGCCATGTAGGTGGTGGGGTTGCCAAAAGGACTGTGATTGATACCACACATGGGACTGTGTTTGTTTCTAGGTTTGTCAGCACCATACCCGTGCTCGTGGGTTTCACCGAAGTGGTAAACGTTTGAGACCTGCATCACTTCGGGCTTTCCTCCCACATTAAGCTGAAACGTCGTGATATAACTTGAATACTGTTAAAAGCGGCTTTAAACCCAACTCACTCACTCCTTTTCATCATGACACAGGCACAAAAATACTGAATGACAGGTGTACAGTAAAATACAGGTGTACAGTACTGAACATGAACCCAATATTGACAGACCCGTGAAGATCCGGGGTAGAATAGGTCTTCAGCAACCCATGCTTGCAGTAAAAGGCAACTGTGCTTGTCTAAGCGACAAACGGGATTGGGTGGTCAGACTCGCTGACTTGGTTGAAGCATGTCATTGATCCCAAGTGCGTGGATCGATGCTCATGATATCAATCACTGGATCATGTGGATTGTCTGGTCCAGACTCGATTATTTACCAGTTAGTTTACAGATGGACGTCATATAGCTGGAATATTGCTGAGTTAAACAACAAACAAACAATATTGACAGGCCAAATGCGGTCAGCAGTTTAGATGAAGTCTTTCCCTATCCTTTCTTATCTGGACAAGGTGACTGTTACAAAGTTACCGTATTTCCCCAATTAGACGCCCAGGCTTCTATTTATTTCGGACAAGCCTTTCACCCGGCGTCTATTAATACCCCCATTTCACTATGAAAGGGATCATTAATTGTATCAATTGATCGACCCGGCGTCTATTAGAGGCCCGGCTTCTATTTTTTGCACTGAACAATTGACCCGGCGTCTATTAGAGGCCCGGCTTCTATTTTTTGCACTGAACAATTGATTCGGCTTTTATTAGAGGCCCGGCGACTAATAGAGGAAATATGGTATAGCCCAAAAGCCGACACATGTATCTAAACAAGAATGATATTGGCCACAATATACAGTGTTAGAAATTGGCACTAGTCCTGCAAGTCCTTGCCAAAGTACCCAATAGTTAACATGGTTAAGGCATCATAAGGACTAGTTGAAATTTGTTATTTTCAAGGGTTTTGCTATATGGTATCATTATAAGGACTAATGGACTAAAAATGTTAGTTTCTATCGCTGATATAGACAGTCAACATTCATACCTTGCATCGGTTTTCCTTCCTGTGCACGGACTCTTGTCCAATGTTCGGAGATGTTCATGATGACGAGGGGATGGAGAGCCACGGAGACGCTGCCCGACGTTCCTGCAGTGGCCATTACACTTGTCCTCGGAGTATCTACCTCCATATTTGTCGCCATACCGGCGATTTTACAATAATCTATGTACTTCGCTGTGTTGGTGAATGTCAACTTCCTGTAATCAAAGGGAGGTAATACTATTTCAACGAAACCGAACATCCGCTTAAAATATTTCGTACAGTTCGTGTTTCAGTCAAGAAGATCATATGGCAAAATGACAATGGAGGTTGTTGAAAAAATTTAATCGGGAAAAATAATTTGTCCTCTATATTAACAAAACAAATCGTAGATGTTGGAAAAGAATTGTCTTGTGTTCAGTTTTTTTTTCTCAGGATAACCATGAGAACACCGTATGATTTAACTCTGACCGGACTAGATATGGGTTGACTTTCAGCAATTATTTCGTTTTGAAACGTATGATCAACCTTTATTGATGTATCAACAAGAACTATATTTCCTCGGGGAGCTACCCAATGATTTACCGTGTCGTAGTCCTGGCTCTAAGATCTGATTTTAATGACATTACATCTAAATGTAGCAGGGCGTGGAGTCATCCCACAGACGACATCCTTGCCTTGTCCGCTTGCTGACGGGGTTAACCTCTTTGGTCATGTGGACAAGGCGTCCGACCTCGGATCAGAAGGTCCATGGTTGGAATCCCATCACGGGACTCGGAAATTTCATGGCCGCTACATAAACATAAAAACATAAATTTTTACTTAAGTATATTATATCCGCCAACAGCCAACTGTGAATTATATATGCATTACAATAGCTAAACATGACGTACCTTTAAACAGACTAGGCGTGTGTCATGGAGAAATTATGTCTGTGCCAAGCGTGAATATTCTGAAGATATAAATCGTGGGTTTTGTACAACTGTAAAATATGTTCGATAGCATGACTTGATGAGCGACGATAAACATTAATTGGCTTGGTCCAGGCACTTATATGATTGAATATGATAAGTGATGATTATGATTATATACCTGGCGAGCGCTATCAGCCCAGACGAGCCTTATCACATTGGAATACTACTGCCAGTATATATATATATATTGGATTTTCCAACACACATCTCACATACTTCACATGAAAATTCTGGTGCAGAAATTCGTTATTCAACACTGTTTAGCGTTTTAATATGATTAATTGTGATGTGCAAAGACAATTTTTTAATGAAACCACATTCGTGACTGTATTGCCCAACCCTCCCAGAGATCCTTGCCCTTGAGATAGCTCACCGCTTTGCCTTCCAGCCCTTGCACGGCCTCCCGTGTCATGTCAGAACAAATATCTGTGATGCCCTCTTTCAATGATTTTCTCTCGAGTCTCTACATTGATTTTATGAACCCTTTCTTTCTTGCACACCTGTATAACATCTCTGTCCACCATGTAGACTGTTCCTGACGAGAGTGCCTCACTCCTGAGAAATAAAGGGTGGACCACTTAATGTTCGGGGATTGTTACGAAAATAATCTGTTCCTAAAATGCTGGATTGTCTGTTCCAGTTTCAATTATTTACAGACCGCCGTCACATAGCTGGAATATTGCTGAGTGTGGCGTTAACCAACAAACAAACAAAGAAAAGGCGGTGTGGGTCTGTCATGCAACCCCTGTTCACGCACAAAACTGTAATGGAGGATCTGAAATCATTAAAAATCTTCAGTAGGGCTTGGACGAGTCCAGATTTACTACCCAGGTACCAACCCTGCTATTACCCGACCCTACCAGGTACCCACTGTTGGTCTCAAGAGTTGGGTACAAAATGTCCGATTGGGAATAGTTTGGGCTGGCAAAATGTATTTAGATACGTGTATAAAACTATCTTGTCATGCACACACTGAAGTTGGCTGAAGTCTTATCTGTATTCAAACCTATAAAGGCCAGAAGGAATGGGTGCATAGTCAAAAAGAAATGTGAACATTAGTGACTTGAAGTGTAACCATGTCATTAACCATTTTTGTCATTAAACAACATATCACGTGACTAACCACGGGTCGGGGTAGTACTGAGGGTGCCCATGGGCGGATAGAGGGGGGGGGGGGGGTTGTGTGTGTGTGTGTGTGTGTGTGCACAATTAAGTTCTATTTATTGTCCTTGGTAGTAATTTATACAGAAATAAATATTTTTTTCGAAATAAAGGGGGGGGGTGGGGGGTGGGGGGGGGTGGGGGGTGGGGGGTGGGGGGGGGGGGGGTGCGCACCCCCGCAACCCCCCTCTGTATCGGCCCATGGTACCCCCCCCCCCCCCCCCCCGAGTTACCAATCCCCTAATATCCTAATCTTCAGTGCTTGACATAATTATTTCATCCTGACTTTAATCTTGCTCAGTTTTGTACATTATGATTTAATTATTTTTATACAAATCTGAAAGACAGCTCCTGTCAATGTTAAATGCTGATATTGTGACATATTAATGTATCATTGTGATGTTATAACATGCCATAGACTCCCAAAGGATATCACTGAAACATGTTTAAGGATTTTTAGTGTGGTGGTATTTTTGTCATTATGTCTTTGAGATATGTATGTGTATATTCTCATTCAAAAAGTGCTCAACGAATGTGTTGTAAACATGTGTATAATTCATCTTTCAATAATGGAAAAATCTGTTTATTCTGTCTTTCAACAACTCCTGTGAATGTGAACATTTACATCAGGTGAGTTTTTTCATTTTTTGCGACCTGATCCTTGCGGAGATGTGGCATAGGAATGTCTTGTAATTGGATATCAACTCTCAGAAAATATATGGAAATATGTTGTACATCTCAAAGAAAACTCATTGGCGTGCATGATACGTGACCAGACGGACCAGTGGATGATATTATGAGCAACTACTCACGATGACACGCAATCAACCCAGTCATGGAACCTGACCATCTGATCCATCTGGTCACCTCTTACGACCAGCATACGTTGCTGGGGACCCAGTCATGGAACCTGACCATCCGATCCATCTGGTCACTTCCTACAACCAGCATACGTTGCTGGGGACCTTGTCTGACCCGTGATCCGTCAGGGGTTGACAATAGAGCCACACGGATAGGTTTACTTACATTGGAAAACTCACACATGGGACTGACATGGAACTGAAAAGAGCTTCACACTTTGTACCCACGAGGGGAATTTAACCCCGGTCCACAGTGCCATCATATCTTGTATGTTTGTTTGTTTGTTGTTTGACGCCGCACTCAGCAATATACAAGCTATATGACGGCGGTCTGTGAAAAATCGAGTCTGGACCATACAATCCAGTGATTGACATCATGAGCATGGATCCACGCAATTGGGATACGATCACATGCATCAACCAAGTCAGCGAGCCTGACCACCCGATCCCGTTAGTCGCCGTCGTAAGGAACTGCTATCAAGTTACAGTTGCCCGCAGATTTCTCATAACATGCGGGCATTTTTATGATAATTCTATCCATTTTAGCTATAATTGTTAGTGCATTAAATATTCCATTGTTAACGTTTGTGTTTATATTAAAGCGTTGTATCGGAAACATATGTACTGGTCCAATCATTTATACTGGTTGTAAGTGTCAAGTTTTCATTTTGGCATGACATGTGCGATTTAGGTACAAAACAATCTTAGCCCTGAGACTGTCGTAAGTCTAAGTTAATGCATGGAAGTTACGATCACCTTAATTAGCGCTGATATCGCTTTGTACAACGACGCCCTGATAGTGTAAACTTTTTGACATAATACTTTCTTTATGGTGTCTTTATTTGTTGGGAACATCTCCGTGGGCTAGTGGTAGAGCGTCCGCCCGGAGAGCGGTAGGTCCGGGTTCGATCCCCGGCCGCGTCATACCAAAAGACGTTTAAAGATGGTACCCTGTCTGGCCGTCGGCATTAAGGGGCTAAAACAAGGACTGGTCGGCTCGGAGTCAGTATACTGTGTCTGAGTGGGGTATTCATGTTAAACTGCACACACACACACACACACACGTGCATGCACGTCGCTGTATAAGTGCAATAATCTTGGACGTGACGTTAAACCCAATTTCACCTCACCTCACCTTCAATTGTTGTATACGGTGTCATATTTGGTTAACCCCTCGCCCAATATTTTTCTGCTAACCTAATGACACCGTATACTGCAACTACAGACACCATAACAAATAGTATTAGTTTTAAAATGCAACTCTCTGGCAGTATATAATTAAAATGTAAAATTGGAATGCATTAATCCTTTTATAGACGAGAGCTTTCAGGTCAGACTAGCAGCCTCTTCAGACCATACAGAAAGGTTAATGCGTTGCAATGCGTGACGTCATAACACCACAGAACCATAATACCACACAATTCGCAGTGTATGGACAAGATATTGGCAAATTCCTTCTATGAACGAGTATCTATGCGTACGAGTTGATTACAATCTTGACTGGGCGTCTGTCTACCTTAGTAACGCTAAGCTTTCGGCGCGTACCATTAATCGAACCAGTTCAACTACAACCCAATCGGAATATCCATCTGACATTTCGTATCTCGTACAAGAGTAGCCCTAAAAACATATATTAAAATATTATTTATGAAATAATTTATTTCATTAAAATAACATTGCAGGCTTTTTCTTCCGTCTACTATTAAACATTAATGTCACTCTTTTAGCGTATATGGCATCGAAGATATAAAAAAGCACAATACAAAGAAACTTTAATAATCAAGTATGAAACACTATTGATACGTCTTAGTGGAAATAGTATATACAAACAGTACTGCAATTTTCCACATTTTCCAGGACCGTGTGTATGTGTTCGTTTTATCGATTATCGCATTTTTCAAGGGAGATAACTCACTGCAACTGCCCGATTCGCGTCTTATATTACAAGCTAATTATAGTCAGCAAGTCTGTATGCTTGACATTTGAATACAATGACATGGCATTAGTTTTCCAATATTAATTAGCGCATATATCGTCAGTTGAGTGAACATGTCGCTGAAAGGTTTACGTAAGGCGTAATATATGTATTGAGACCGTAGTCCGTAATTTTGTCGGACATTTATAATATAGACAGAACCCAGTTACCGTAATGTTAACGATATCAGCACCAAAGTTCTTTGAAAAATTGTCTTCGCATATCTACATGTTTTCCAGCATTGCG